CCATCTCAAGATGTCAGCTGTCTGTAATTTGATTTATAAATTTAATAAAAGCCTAATGAAAATTCCAATGAATTTTTTTTTGATGCTGAACATAAATCAGAAGTTAATCCTGAAGTTCATGAGGAAAGACAAGCACACACAAAAAGTTGAGAAAACACTGAAGAGGATGAGTTCTGTTAGGGGACCAGCCCTGGCATTAACATGCCCGACATCCCCAGACACTAAAATACAGGGCAAAGTCTCTTTGCAAGAAATAAATAAGCAGGTCGGTGGAATGGAAGTTCCAGAAACAGCCAAAGACAGGAAAACATGGTGTATGATAATGGTTGTATCTCAAGTTACTGAGGCAGTGGTGATCTTTTTAACAAACCCAACTAATGAAACAGAACTAGAGCTCTGCATGGAGGGATTTAAATGGATTCACCCAGCTGGGTGTTGTGACAAGGGGACACCCACTCAGAAAAAAGATTAAACTAGACCCATTCCTCACACCATATACAAAAATAAGTTCCAAGTGTACCAGAGATCTAAATATTTTTTTAAGGACAGAAAAAAAGCATGGGGGCATGATAACCTGGGTATAGGAGAAAACTTCTAAAACTATGATTAAAGTCCAGATGTAATGAAACAAAAGATTGGTAAATTTTACTACATAAAAAAAGTTTGTGTGTGGGAAAATTACCACCATAAGCGAGCTCAAAAGACAAATGACAAACAGAAAGGAAATATTTATAACATTTGTCAAAGATAAAGGGCCAATATTCCCAATTCACAGGGAACCTTTTAAAATTTCAGGGGGAAATGCTCAGACATTCTACGGAAAACACGCCCTGCCGTCCCCTGTCTTCTGGGACAAGTTGGGATGGTAAGTGCCTCCTGAGAGGAGAGGGTTTTGAGGGACGCAGGGTCTCTGCGCAGCCCTGAGCTGCAAAATGTCCAGCTGGTACCTGGCGATCAGCGCTGTCGCCCCCTCCTCACCCCCCCACCGCCCGCGCCCCTCACCATCCTCCTCCAGGAAGAACGCCAGGAAGCGGGGCGGGTTGCCCGGCTCCTGGGGGACTTCGGGCTCCTGGCGTCCGTATCTCTCCGGGCTCTGAAAGTCCTCCTGCAACTCGGTGGGTAAGTCCTTGGACCGGGGCAGCGGGCTGGGAGGAGGGTGCAGGCGTTGGGGCCCCAGGACTGTCAGTCGGCAGCGGGGAGCCGGGCGCAGTTATCCCCAGCTCCACCTGCCCCCACTGCCGGCCTGCCCCACCCAGCAGACCGATGCCTAGGTCTTTCGCTTTCGTTTTTATGTAAACGGATTCTGCCTTAGGTTGCAATCTTGGAATGGCAAACAACAGCTGCCTCGGATTTATGTCACCCTTTTGGGACAAATGTTGCTGTCAGACAACTTTTAGGTCTAAGTCCTGGACTTTATAGTTTATCAGTCAAGTAACCTCAGTCGATGGCATCCGTACAGTGGGTATAGCCTTGACTACTTCATGATATTATTGCGAGGATTAAAAGAGATAAAGCCTGTAGAGTGTCTAGTATTTTTTTTTAAATCATTATTCTCAGAGATCTAGGCCCCTGGGTAAGGCCTGCCCTTGGGATCCTGAATTGCTGGAGTGGGGCCACGGGCATAGCAGGAGGTCCTGTCCGCAGGGGACCAGCTGGTTCTGCCCACCGGAGACCTACAGCTCCTCTGCTTCTATGCAGGCCAGCGCCAGAGCCACCACTCAGCACTGCGGGCAACCCTGCTGTCCAGCACCTGGGCCAAGCAGCCCCCACGTTTCTTCTCGCCCCATGGCAAGTGGGTGATGGTGGCTGCTCTCCCCTTGATGTCTGCTGGGGACACCTTGGGCTGGCTGACAGCCTCCGGGCTTCGCCAGCACAGATCGGGGCTGCAGGTACAGCGCTGCACGGGGCATTGTGAGCTACTCCTCCCGGTCCTCAGCCCCAGAGATGGCCCAGTGTGTGACGCAGCAGGCAGGGAAGGCCCTGAAATTCGCCTCCCTGCTCACCAGCCTGGCCAACTGGGGACCCCTTGGCCCTTCTCTGCCCTCCTGGCTTGCCAGAGTCCCCTTCCAGGCCTTGGACAGCCGGAGGGCTCTGTTTTAGGGACTGGGAGAGGTGGCGGTGCCTTTCCCCATTCCAGACCCTTCCAGTCAGCTCAGTCTCTCACAGAGGCACCTCTTCCCTCTTCCACGGCTTTGTCTGAACCATTTTGTATAAATTACTTTTATTTAATATTATTTCCTGCTTTGTCAGGGGCAGGTGCCAGGGGGAGGAACTGACCTCTTCCTCCTCTCTGGGCCTGGGGTGGAGATACTTTGTCACTCACCTCCCTGCCACCCCCCTCTGGGAGCATCACGGAAGCACCGAAGGCATATCGTCAGAGGAGTGATGAGATCAGAGCTACTTTGTTCAAAAGATGGTTTGCAGTGAGAGGAGAAAGACTTGGGGACAGAGAGAGCTTTTAGTGGGTATTTTAATCATTTTGGCGACAGAACTCTGAAAATGCCAAACGGGTAGTGAGATTTAAAGTGAAGGCGAAGCAGGACTGGTGGTGATGGACAGACAGGCAGGACAAGAGGGAGAAGCCAAAGGTGCCACTAAGATGCCACTTTAATGTACGCTAACTGTAATACATTCTACATTGCCTATTGTTTTCCCAGGAAACAAAACTGAATTTCCTCCTCTTTAAAATAAGGCATTTCAACAATATGATTACTTCAGTCCTTTTCAACTCCTATGCCAAGCAAATAAAGCTGCGGAGTAAACCTGCTGTGTCTTTTCAAAGCTCTTCGTGAAGCAGTGGCCAGGGCATTGCACTGTCCCATCGTAGTTGACCTCACTTCTCTTTTTGTTTGTCCCTACCTTCAACGACCTGGGCTTGCACCTCCCAAACAAGGTGTTGACTTCCGGAGTTTTTTTTCTAAGGCACTGCATTTAGAGGACTCAGAACTCTTATCAACAAAAAAGAAAATAGTGCCAAACCCCCATATAGAAATCAAAGCAAAACCAATACTACACCATAAGACCAATGTAAGGAAGTGCCACAAAGGTTTGATTTTTCTCCTAGCGACTGCTTCGATGCTGTGATGTTGTGATCTATAAGAAAAATATATTTGGTCTTTGTCCTAGTTTGTGGCACAGATCTCCTAAGACCCTTGGAATTTCCTGACGGCTGAGAGCATAAAGGTATTTTTTATGTTAATGAGGGGACTCATATCAAGGAGGCGACTACAGAGGGGCCTGGTTGCCAGAGGAAGCAACTACGTTGTGATTAGAAGGTCGACACTTTCAGCCCCACTCTCTGACCTGCTGGAAAGACTTGGGGACAGAGAGAGCTTTTAGTGGGTATTTTAATCATTTTGGCGAGAGAACTCTGATAATTTACTCAACCAATGGCCAATAATTTACTCAACCACACCTATGGCCAATAATTTACTCAATGGCCAATAATTTGCTCAATGGCCAATACTTTACTCAACCACACCTATGTAATGAAGTCTCCAGAAAACCACAAAAGGACAGGGTTCAGAGAACTTCTGGGTTGGTGATAAGTGAGCGTGCAGAGTGGCACGTTCCCCGAGCATCTCTTTCATCTGGTCAGTTATTTTTGAGTTATATCTTTGTTTTTTATCTTCACCCAAGGACACGCTTATTGATTTTTAAAGACGGGGGAGGGAGGGAAAGAGAGAGGAGAGAAACATCTATTGAAAGGATGAAGCCTGCGCCATCTGCTGTCCTGTCTCCATTTGCCAAGCAGGCGTGTGACTTGTTAAACATGACTGCCATTTCACTCTTCTAAGCTTATGTCCCCAGGACTGGAAATGACTGGAAAGCAAGAACAAAGCAGGACTAACCTCCCCCACAGCCGAAGGCAAAAGATAACATTGGAGCAAACTTCAGCTTTTGCAAAACCAGCTGAAACCTCTAGTGTTACAACACCCGCAACAGCCCAGGGGCCACACAACAGCAACCCCTGTGATCCAATTGTGATCCAATAAAAGCTCACAGCCCCCACCTTTTGAAGCTAATGTATCTCTCCACACCACGCCCCTTTCCAGTCTTAGAAAGTCAATAAAAAGCTTTGCACCCTGCATTTTCTTCTTTGTGAATTCTTTCACAACCCGCATCATTGACCACCCCTAACATCTGGGCCAAACCCACAACCCAGGCACGTGCCCTGACTGGGAATCAAACCCATGTCTTTTCTGTGTACAGGACAACACTCCAACCAACTGAGACACATGCCCCAGAGCCCCAGGTCATGTTCTTTGTAATATTCAGATAATCTAGTGAGTAAACTGGTTTCCTGAATTCTGTGAGTTGCTCTAGGAAATTATCCAAGGAGGGTGTGATGGGAACCTCAGATTTACAGCTATTCAGCAGAGGCCCAGGTAACAAGTGGGGTTTATTACTGCCATCTGAAGTACAGGGCAGACTTATGGGACTGAGCCTTTACCCAGGGAATCTGGTATTTTCTCCTGGTAGATAGTGTCAGAATTGAGTTGAATTGTAGGACACTTTGCTGGTGTCAGAAAATTGCTCTGATGTGTGGGGGGAAAACCCACACATTGGAACTGAGTGCTGAAGCTTGCCATCTTTAGGAAAACATCAGATGCCTCAATATTATTTTCAATTATCTTTTTCTTTGGAGAGAAGGGTGCCCTGATTTGCGGTGCCCAGTGAGCCACCTGGCTATTCCAGCACCAACACTGGAAAAGTGAAACAGAAATTCTGGGGGCAAGAAGGGGGCAAGTATAGTTTGATAAGGTGTTGCAGATGCTTTCTCCAGAAGGAGAGAAGAGTCAAAACCTGCTGCGTACTCTTACCTTTGTAGTACTCTATGGGTTAAGGAAAAATAATACTACATGTGATTTTTCACAGCTGAAAGTGGCAATAGTGAAGTCAAAAGTGATTTTGTTGTACACTCTATATATTGTGAGAAACCACCAGAATCTTAACCTAAAGGAGGAGAAAAAAGTGGGGAAAGAACACAGACAATCTGCTCCTAATGCGGAAATAACTTTATTGAAAGCAGATACATGTGATAATACCTTCTGCAGAGCAAAAGCAGCAATCCAAAGGCTTCCCAACCGCTCACACCACCGAACTGCCTGTGCACACTTGGCACTGTAATCAAGGAGCAGGAACCAAACTGGAGTTTATTTGAAGCAAATTTAGCTAAAGCTTAGTAGATACAAAACAACTAATCATAATGGTAAAGACTTTAATGAATCACCAAAATTTAAATGTATCATCTGATTTTTTTTAAAAAAAGGGGGGGCTATGATTTAGTTTAAGCTTCCTCAACTCTCCAGTCGAAGGAAAAGATTCTGGGTTTTTAAGTTCTTCAAATAAGACTTCTTCAGAGGAAATTTGCTGTGAGAGAAGCCCAGGGAACGCCTAGGCCGGCTTTGTGGAGGAGAAGCTCTGGGGTACAGAAGCCTTGAGGCCAGGCTATCTCCATTAAATCCTAGCACTTCTGCTTGTTAACTGGGTGACCTTCGCCAAGGTGTCCTCTGTACATCAGCTTTCTCAGTTATAAAATGGAGTCCTACTCGTATCAATCACACGAATGTGAAGATCTTATAAAGGGGACAAAATAAGTCCACAGTAAATATTAGCTGTTGCCCTCTGACCAAATATATATGTATGTGTGTGTGCGTATGTTTAAGGAAAGAAAAAGACACCTCATTCATCATTTTTGGAGAGAGGCTGCAGTGTAGATAACCAGATAAGAAACCCCGTTTTCCAAATCAGTGGTGAGGACTCCAGAAATGGCTTCCTTACTCCTGCCTCTGATAAAGATTTGGGGAACATATATTCCTCTGCTGTGGTATTAGCCACCTAAGTCTGGTAGCAAAAATTTGTTAAGTACCAACTGTATACCAGGCCCTGTGTCATGAAAAATAATAGCCTTATGTGCTTTATCACCAAAGGTTGCCCGATCTCTGCTCCCAGTCACTCTTCTGGCCACAAAAGAGGGGAACATGTGTCTTAATTTTTTCATAACCAAAGCCTCCCTACTTCCCCCATTTGCACTAGGATTTCACTTTCACAGTATTTAAAGGGCAAATCAACCAACAAAAAACTAAGGGACCACCCCGGAGATGGCGGTCCAAAGAGGACCCACTGGCAGCTGGTGTTTCAACTGCAGAGCACAGATGATGACTTTAGGTCCACAACACTCCATCCTCTCTGCCCTGCAACAATGACCCAAGAATGAGGCATATCACCCCTGCAGCAAAAGTCACACAGATATCGGGGGCTTTGTCTTCCATAAAAAGTAGCACTCCAAAAACAACATAACAGATTCTTACTCTTCCACGAACCCTTGAGATGAACATTTGTAAAAGGTCTTTCTACATAAGGATATTTACTCTGCTCCTTCAACTGTGTCTTTTGAAAGCTTGGCTCAAGACATCCTTCCGGCAGTCTTCTTACTGAATTCCTTTATTTTTCAGCTCCTGTTTGACGCGTTTCAGGTAATTAGGATCAGGGTAGCCATATCTGCAGAAGGAAAAGCCCCTTAGCTTCATCACACATGGTTTTAAAGAATGTGTAGAGCAGGTTGCTGGCATTAACATTGTGTTGCAAACATTAACAAGCACTCCTGAAGGCGGATGACTTATAACCACTTGTTGGCGTGCAGATGTGAGCCCTTTAGCTAGTCAGTGAGCCTAGCTGTCTGCCTAGCATCTGCCTTCCAACAAGACATTTCGTGTTTTCAGCTCGTGGTAAGCAGCGACTCTCATAAAGTTATACTACACTATATTAAAAATAAATGGTTTATATATAAAAATATAACATGTTCTATATAAAAGCATAGTATATATTTTATACTTTATATATAAAAATGTAGTGTGTGCTACAGGAGGATTTTCAAGTTTGGAAAATTTGAGAAAGTCTCAGGATCCTTTTGAGTACTACGCGTTAGGTATCGTATCTGAATTTCACTGAGACCAATTGGATTGCCTATAAAACAACATTCACAACACTAAATAAGAGTTTTGCTAGAGCACTATTAGCCAAGTGATTTTAGGATCTCTGTGGAGCGATGAAAGGAACAGGTAGAAGAAAGTATGATCTTCAAAGAAGGCTAAGTAAATAATGTTCCTAGGATCTACCCTGCAAACAAACAGGAAACCTCAAATCAAGTCATCTGAGATATCACTCATCTAGGATTTTGAAGCCTCTTGCCTTGTGATGCAAAATTGACTAACTGTATGATGCTTTGTGGCTGGCAGCGTAGAAGGTGATGGGAACCAATCTGCCTTTGAGATTAACATCTCTCAAAATAACTGTACCGTACCCAATCCCGTGTCTGTAAAGAGTCCCTTGTAGCCATATCCTCAAGATGCCATATCTTACAAGCTCTAAATTCTGTTTAGCCATCATTTTATTTCAAAAAGTTCTCACCTTTCCGGTCCCCCAGACATGGACGTTTTATGGTGGATATCATTCCATGTAATGACATTGGAGAGTCCTGTAACTCGAGACTCTCCCACTGTGAAAATTAGCTTTTGTTTAAAGGCTTTCTGAAGCAGTTTCAAAACCTCCCGTCCTTCCTTGTTATCAGGCAAGTATGCAGTGCGCCATGTTCCAGCATATGGCTTTCCTGGGTTTGGGTGCTCTTCCTGCATGAAGACAAAACAATGTTGCATAAACACATGCCTGAGTCTAAACTTTCCTATACAGATAGATGTATTCGTTTTCAGATAGAAGACATCAAAACCAAAAAAAAAGGTATTGAAGAATTCATATTTCTCCTCTTTTCCTAAATTCATGCTGGGAATACCATCCACCTTCCTGACTCCCCCCACCCTAATACATGATCAATCACCACCCATCCTTCCTCTCCCCTAATAGACAGAAAACATAAGTGATAGGCAAAGATTGTTACTTTTACCACTATTTAAAGCCACTGTATATGACTATGGAAATAAGTCCCTGGGAAATCCACTAATTGGCAACAGCACAGTCTCTTTGCTCAGCACACTGGAAAGAAACCCATGGATCTCAGACACACTTACTGTTTGTATGCCTCCTTTCATATCATAATTAATCACAATGGAGCCACAGGATTCATAGCCTGGGAGTGAGTATTTTTGGACTTGGAAAGTCATGCTTCCCTCCGGCTGATTCCCTTTCTGGACACCACAGGGATCCTGGCACATGGGACAGACTGGTTTATATGTCATGGCTTTGTTGATACAGGGGGCGCAGAATTCGTGCTTGCACTTTGGGAGCACTAGCTTGTTTCTAATGGGCTCCATACAGATGACACATATGACCTCTTCCTTGTTCACTCCTGACGCCTGAGAACTGGCAGAGCGCTGGGATGTTGGTGAAGCTGTTTCTGAACCATTCCCATCAACGTCCATGGGTGTTTCACGATCCTCATTCTGTTTCTGTCCAGCTAACGGGGACATTCCCCCTGTTTGTAAGACATACTGCTTTGCCTTTGCAAGATGATTCGGCAACCCAATAAAGGTCATTGACTCTTGATTTAACACAACACATACACCTGGATGCCTATTTCTAAGGTCACCAATGAACTTGGTCCCATATAAGTTCTTTCTCTCCTTGCCCAAAGATTTCAATGGAAGAACTTCTCTCATCAGCTGACATGAGACATGTTGATAGGCATCAATGAAACTTGCGCGAGCGTGCACAGACAGATCTAACTTCTTGTCCTTAGGTTCAAATACAATGCAGGTTTTCTGACCTTCTTCCCAAACCTTTCTTTGAGTGCTGTACTTTTGTTCTATCTCTGATACCTCCTGCAGTAATGCAGCTTCTAAAAGCTTGTAGTGTGCCGTGTCAACCTCGATTACGTTCCTCGTACTTAGAATCAATATGTTCACAGAAGCCTCGACAGGACTTTCAGAGGTTTGGGAGGCAATAAAATGTGTGGCAGCTGAAACGTCATCATGGGTACCCATAAGAATTAATTCTCCTCCATTCTCCTTCATATAAAGCTTTCGAAACTGGTGACTCAGTTTCTGTTTGATTTTACTTGCCTGCTTACTGTCAGCCAATACAACACATTCCTTCTTCATAGTTCCTATGCTCTGCTGAAACTCGTGGATAAAAGACTCTTGAGCTGATTTGATGTCACCTGATTGACTTGGGGTGAAATCGAAAGAGACCATATCAGGAGAACTCTCATGACTTTTTATTTTTATACCAAATCTTTTCTCTACTGAGTCCATTTTTCCAGGATGGGTATATTGGAAGTACTCAAAGAGAAATAAGGGAACTTCATAGCAGTTGCTTTTTCCTTCTGACTTGGTTTTTGGTTCAGAGGGAGAACCACAGCTGTTCTGGCCTTCCTGGAGTGGCTCCCACTCTGTTGTCAAAGGCGATGATTCAGGATTCCGCTCGCTTTTTACAAGCTGCTCACTCAAGAAGCCATGTATTTTTTCAATATCTTGGAAGGTACCACACACTCTCTCAACTCCATTGTAGCCCTCCATTTTTGCGACATTGGGGCAGAGAGTAGTTATGCACTCCCTCTGCTCTTTAGAGAACAGGTTACAGTTCAGTTCAGCCGTGACAGTAAGGAAGATCTGAAATTTTCAAAGCAAGAAATGAAATCACTCAGACATGCAGGCCTACAGTCTCCTCTCAAGAGAATGTCTAAAGACTAGAGAAACAACTGCTGTGTGTGTCCTCCATTAGCAGAGGACGACTTTCAAATCCTCTTCACACAGGATGCAGCATGTGAGAGCCCGGAGGTTCTCAGCCCTGTCTGTCTGCACATTAGGCTCACTTGGGAAGTTAAAAAAAAAAAAGCTAAGGCCCAGGCACCTCTCCAGGGAGCCTGATATAAATGTAGAGTCTGGGTATTAGAATTTATTTTATTTATTCTTAAAGATTTTATTTATTTATTTTTAGAGAGAGGGAAAGGGAGGGAGAAAGAGAGGGAGAGAAACACCAATGTATGGTTGCTCCTCACGTACCCCCTACTGGGGACCTGGCCTGCAACCCAGGCTTGTGCCCTGACTGGGAATGGAACCCGTAACCCTCTGGTTCTCAGTCTGGCACTCAATCCACTGAGGCACACCAGCCAGGGCTGGGTATGAGAATTTTTAAAAGGTACTGTGGACTAATGGTCTGGATTTTACAGTTGCCACTGTCTGTTTGGCCTTAGGGAAGGCAGTGGAGAAAAGGCGCTTGTCATTCTAAGAAGCTGCTATGGTTCTCACGAAAGAGTCTGTGAGCTTGGAAGGGAGTCATAAATCTGAGGATGTTTTTTCTCATTACTGTTTTTTTTCTCATCTTCAATCCCTCCTGCCCCACCCCCCGCCACTTTTTTTAACTAAACACCTAACTACATGCAATATTACTGGGCCCTCTAAGCTCCCAGCTTTTAGAAACTCAAGTATAAGACAAGCACATTAGATTAGGCTTTAAAAAAGGTAGGAAAATTGAATATAATATAAAAGCAGGATTTCTAATGTTTTGCTACCCCTCAAGGTCTTTGCACATGCTATTTCCTCTGCACATAATATCCTTCCTCTAGCTCTTCCCTGAAAACGCTTCCTGAATTCAGCCACTCCTTACACTGCCATCAGGACCACCCTACAATCCAAGTCATTACCACCTTGCCCCGGGCCCACTGCAACTCCTCCTGACTGGGCTCTGACCGTCCACTCTAGCCCCTTCCCACAATCCATCATCCACACAGCAGCCAAAGTGATCCTTTAGAAATGTAAATCAGATCACACCACATCCCAGGCTCAAAATCATGATGAACCCCCTAACATTTAAGTGAAAAGCCAAAGTCTTGACCTTCATCCCCAAACACCTGACTTCTTAGTGTCTCTCCAAGTTCTTCTTGTATCACTCTCTTCCCTGTTCACTGCCCTCTACACACACTGGCCTGACTCCTTGTAGTTCCTGATGCTCAGGATGTAAGCTCCTGTCTTGGGGCCTTTGCTCTTGTGCTCCCCTCCGCCTAGAACATTTTTCCCACAGAAATCCACTTAGCTAGGCTAGCTCCTTTATTTCATGCATGTCTCTACTCAGACATTACTTCATTGGAGAGGTTTTTCCCGACATACTAAAGTAGTGGTCCTGTCACTGTCATTTGTCCTGCTTTATTTTTCCTAGCACTTACCACTGGCAAACGTTATAAATCTATTTGTTTACTATGACTGTCTATGTCCCTCATTAGAATGTGAGGTCCCTGAAGGCCGAGTCTGGTATGCTCCTGGCTATAGCCCCAGTGCCTGGCACACAGTAGGCAGTTGATATTGATTTGTCACATGACTCTTCATATGGCTCGTTCCTTCTCATTCAAGTCTCAGGCCAGGAGAAGGATCAAGTCAAGCGACAGGTACATAAAGGACCCACGGACAAGGACCAGGGGGTGGAGGGTAGAGGATTGAATGTGGCAGAGGGTGGGTGGGCAGGGCAGGGGAGAGCAATGGGGGAAAAATGGGGACAACTGTAATTGAACAACAATTTAAAAATTGAAAAAAAAATCAAGTCTTAGGCCAAACATCACCTGGGAGAAGTCTCAGACTACTGGTTAGAAGCAGCACCGCCTCCTTCCCCTTACTCGCCCTGGCCCAGTAACTCTCTAAGGCACATATCACTCTCTGAAATTGTTTTCTTTGTTTGTTTTACTTGTTTATTGTCCTGCTATGTACCTCTCAACACCCAGCAGGGACCTGCTGTCTTCTGTTTCCCACTGCCTAAAACGATGCCCACCTCACAGTAAGTCCTCAGTCAACAGTTGCTGGACCAACAGTGAAAGGTACAGCGACGGAGGAGGAAGTTGCGAGCACATACCTGGCTCCTTCTTTCAAATACTCACATTTTGGACACAGGAATCCACAGCATTAGGAATATGTTCTTCACCTGGATGCTTCTCACCAGACCTCTCCCCTTCTTGTGATGCTGTTTGCACTTGAGACATTCCAGGTCTCATATTCTCCTCTATTGGATTTTTGGTGGGTTCCAGGAAAATAGTCACAGGTTTGTGGTCAACCCAAATCTGGTGCGCTTCTTTTTTCAACACTCTCTCCTTGGCTTCAGTGGAGACATTAAACATACACATACACATAGACATGGGAGTGACTTTAAATACTCCTCTTATTCGGGCATCTGTACCCTACCCATCACCCTCCCAGTAAGGGCTGCTCCCTGCGTCCTGGGGCTGTGTGGGTGGGGGGGGCAGGGGGAGCTCTTCAAAACTCTCAAGTGGGAGCCTCAGTTTTACTGTATGAATGAAAGATCAATGATAATCGAACACTGACAATTCATTAAAAGTCATGTCTCTGAAACTGTCTCGGTTTCCCTTTTCTGTCATAGGTAATAATAATACTCACATAAAGTGGACTGAAAAAACAGGGAGTGAACAGTACAGACTCAGAATTCTGTAAATATATGTAGGTGTTTACTGCCATTCATAGAGAGAGGCTGGAAGAAACATACCAAACCCACCACATTGTTTACCTCCAGGTGTTCTTTATTCTTTTCTCTCTTTTCTATGGTGTGCATATATTATTATTACAATCCCCCCCAAATAAATCAATGGAGTATTTATTCTAAACATAAAAGGGGAATACCTAAATGGCAAAGGGTGACAGGCATCTGGGGTGGGGGCAGGAGAAGGTTGCTCTTCTGAGATCTGAGAAAGATGAGCTGGGACTTGGATGCTGGAAAGGTGTCCACGTCAAGGCGCAGTCAGGCTACATCGCCGACTGGGCAACTCTGGGCTCTGTCTGCCACCGTGGCTGCGTCTCTTGGCAGCCAGAGGCCTAGGTTCCTGTACCCCTACAAGACAGTGCCATACTTTGTCCCGCCTTCTCTCCTAGGTCAGCTAGCACTGGGTCTGCCTGGGGGTGAGCCCCAGGGACGACCTTTGCACCCCCAGCCCCGGGCCTGCGCCTCACCTGCCCTGTCCAAGAACTCCACCTTGAAGGTGTCCGGGGCGCTGGCACCCAGGGGTCGGACGGTGCATTCCCCGCCGCCCGAGTTCTTCCGGCTCTGGAAGTAGCTTTCCAGCTTCCAATGTAGATTTTGCCCGTGGCAGGGCTCGGACACCCGCACCAGCAGCGGGGACGGCGGGCAGGGGTTCGAGGCCATGGCTCTCGGTGTAGGTCTGGCGCCGCTGCTCCGGTAGTTGCCGCGCCTGGTCGGGGTCAGGGGTGTGTCCCGCCCAGCGGCCGGGGCAGCGAAGTTTCAGTTTCGCTTTCCCTGAGCTCCCTCCCTATTCCCGGCAGTGCCGCTCCCCTTTCTCTACTTGCGGCCTCGCCTGCAGCCGTCGGCCGGGTGAGTAGGTCCCGTCCTGCAGCCCCCCAGACCCCGGGGCGGTGGGGGACCGGTGCTCTCGCGGCTCCTCTCCCGCGGGCTTGGGCTTAGGTGGCGGGCGGCCCCCAGAGCCAGGGCCCCACGGGAGCATGAGACTGGTCAGATGCGAAAGTCACAGTTTCTCCCGAGTTTGTGATTTCTTTTGACTCTCATTGTTGTTACGGTTATATGCAGCTAAAGTGTAATCCCCATTCTGAGTTAGATTAATACCTGCATTTAAAAAAAAAATTGAAATGGTTCGCCTGCGTTATAACCTATCACCTGTTACGTCCCTCCAACCCTGTGCTTCAGATGGGCTCTGGGGGTCTTTCTGCCTTCATTCCTTGTCTTGACCGACAGTGCTGCCTCGTGTGCTAGGGACTACCGATGAGCCTGGAGGCGCCCGCCTCACAGGCTAGTAACGGGAGGCGGACTTGTGAATGAAGAAGCAAATCTCTTGAATGCCCCCAAGAGGACGTTTGAAGCAGAATCTCAATGAGTGTGTGCGTTGGTGGGTAGTTGGAGGAGAGCATCTGAGGCACACATGGAGACTGGAGGCTTGGAGGAGATGAGATAGGTGAGGGAGATGATGGAGGAAGGGGCTAGACCAGTGCTGTTCAGTACAAATATGATGAAACCAATGACTAATTAAAAAATTTTGGCCCTGGCTGGTGTAGCTCAGTGGATTGGGTGCTAACCTGCGAACCAAAGGGTCACAGGTTCTATTCCCAGTCAGGGCACATGCCTGGGTTGCAGGCCAGATCCCCAGTGGGGGACCATGCAAGAGGTAACCACACATTGATTTTTCTCTCTCTCTTTCTCCCTCCTTTCCCATCTCCAAAAATAAATAAATTTACTTAAAATTTTTTTGAGCCATATTTTTAAAAATATAAGGCGAAATTAATTTCAATGATGTTATTTAACTCAACATATCCTAAATTTAATCATTTATGTATCCTAATTTAATCATTCAGCATGTGATGAATATTAAATACTTACATTTTTACATCCTCTTGGTCATACAGAGTCTTTGCAATCCGGTGTTTATCTGTGGCTAGTTGGGTCTAGCTACATTTTAGGAGGTCAAAAGCTAGCTGCCTGTGGCCAATGGCCCACACTGGGCAGACAGCACAGGTCTAGACAGCGAAAGGTCTTGACGATCAGTGCGGAGAAATGGAAAGATTGTCAGCTGGGGGAACAGGAGAGTGACATGTCAGGTGTGCATGTAGAAAGGTGGTGACAGCCGGGTGGAGGACACGTTTCCAAGCAGGGATGAATGGGGGCAGAGAGACCAGAGGTAAGGATTTTGCACATGACTGGTAAGACTGGAAATAGGTCGGTCTTTATGGAGAACAACTTGATAGTACCATCACACTTATGACTGCACAGACTTTATGATTCTGCAGTCAGGGGTCGGAAGGAGCTTCACACTTTCTAAATTTGAGCCACTAAACTAGTACCCATTCAGACAATAAAATGTAAAACTAAACACATTTAAATCTTTAAAGAGAAGTAGTGACCTAGCTCAGGCAAGAGGCCCTGAGGCCCTGAAGTGAAGTGGCCAATGGGCAAGGAGGGTCAGGGCATAAGTGACCTAGGTGTTTGGACCTAGCTGATGTTTTGGTTATGGGACAAATGAGAAAAATTCTAGATTTCTGACTTGAGTGGTTAAATGGTGTGTCATTAATTGAGCTATGGAAACCGGGAGAGAAAGCATGGATTTTGGAGAGAGTTGACTGAGGGTAGGGAGGTGAATCCAGGCAAAAGGCCTGTAAAGCGAAAGGTAGCAAAAGAACCAAGGGAAGATGGCACAGGAGAAGCCAAGAAAGCAGAGTTTTAGGACTCAAAGAACACAATAACTATAGACAGAGGTCAAGTAAAAATTAGGACAGAAGACCAGGAAGCACAGAGTCCCAAACAAGATGGATGCAAAGGGGTCCACTCCAAGACACATCATATTTAAAATGCCAAAGGTTAAAGATAAAGAAAGAATCTTAAGAGCAGCACAAGAAAAGCAGTTAGTTATGTACCTACGGGGATGTCCCTATAAGTCTGTCCCCAAAGTTTCTCAAAAGAAACTTTGCAGGCTAGAAGAAATTGGCTAGAAATATTCAAAGTCATGAAAAGCAGGGACCTACAGCCATGGTTGCTGTACCCAGCAAAGCTGTCATTTAGAATCAAAGGGCAGATAAAGAGCTTCCCCCTTTCCACACAAGAGAAAACTAAAAGAGTTCATCATCACCAAACTATTATTATACGAAATGTTAAAAGGACTTAAGAAAAAGAAGGAGATCAAAACTATCAACAGAATAGTCATGGGGAAGCACAGTATAGTAAAGAGTAGCCTAAGAACTTATATTCATGACTCATGGACGTGAACAGTGGTGCAGGGATTGCCTGAGAGAGTAGGGGGTGTTAGGTGGAGGGGACGAAAGGGGAAAAATCAGGACAACTGTAATATCATAATCACTAAAATATAATTAAAAAAAGAAAAAGGACAGAAGAGAGTCTGCTGGGGTTAACCTCCTGGAGGACACTGATGAGCAGTTTCAGAGGATGGCAGGGGGTGAGGCAGGGGCCCACTACCGTGGGCTGAACAGGCAGATGGATGGAGAAGAGTCATCTTCATGCTGCCCCTGCAGAAAAAAGAACATAGTAGGAACCAGTTATGGAAAATTAGGAAGGCTTTTGTTGTTATTGGTGGTATTTTTAAAATGGAAGAGATTGGATGTTTGGGGCAATATGCTCCTTGTTTCTAGTTTCTTTGGGGTTGACCCCACCACCACCACAGCAAATGTATCCCTTTGAAGCCTGGTCTATAGAAAAAAACAAGTGCAACACCATCGAAGGCAAAAGCCCCCAGGAAGCCCACCCACCACCAAAGCCAACACTGAAGACTTCCTTCTTTTGTGGAAAAAAAAAAAACAACAGTGCCCTCTGGGTATAAAAATTCATCTTGCCTTCCAACTTTAGGATTGTACTGGACATGCCACTTTTCCTGACATGTAAGAATAATAGTGCTCTGATGCTGTACATAACCATACGAAGTTTTTCTACTGCAAAGGCATTACAAATCATTTCAGAGGCAAATGGCAACTGTGTGGGAAACTAGTGTAGGCTACTATGTAGTTAGGCATTTTCATTTCTGTCTAATTGATGGACAATCATTAAAATAGATTTTTCAGTGTTTCTGATTTTTATCCAGATATTCCTCTTTCTTTTTTATAATGTATTTTATTGATTATGTCATTACAGTTGTCCCCTTCCCTGCCTTCATTCCCCTCCACCCTGCACCCCCCCACATTCTCCCGCTTTAGTTCATGTCCATGTGTCACAAGTTCTTTAGCTTCTACATTTTCCACACTACTCTTGCCCTCCCCCTATTTTATCTCCACCATCTATGCTACTTATTCTCTGTACCTTCTTCCCCCTTTTCCTCTTCTCACTCCCCTGTTGTTAACCTTTCATGCGATCTCTATTTCTATGGTTCTGCTCCTGTTCTAGCTGTCCACTTAGTTTGCTTTTATTTTAGGTGTGGTTGTTAATAACTGTGAGTTTGCTGTCCTTTCACTGTTCATTTTTTTCATCTTCTTTTTCTTAGATAAGTCCCTTTAATATTTCATATAATAAGGGCTTGGTGATGATGAACTCCTTGAACTTGACCTTATCCGAGAAGTGCTTTACCTGCCCTTCCATTTTAAATGAAAGCTTTGCTGGATAGAGCAATCTTGGATGTAGGTATCCAATCTTCTCTAACTGCATGTAGGAGCAATCCTTGCCTTTCATGATTTGGAATACTTCTTTCCAGCCCTTTCTGGTCTGTAAGGTTTCTTTTGAGAAATCAGCTGACAGTGTAATGGGAACTCCTTTGTAGGTGACTGTCCCTTAGCTCTTGCTGCTTCTAGGATTCTCTCCTTCATTTTAATCTTGGCTAATGTAATGATGATGTACCTTGGTGTGTTCCTTCTTGGGTCCACCTTCCTTGGGACTCTCTGAGCTTCCTGGACTTCCTGGAAGTCTATTTCCTTTGCCAGATTGAGGAAGTTCTCCTTCATTATTTGTTCGAGTAAGTTTTCCACTTGTTGCTCTTCCTCTTCCCCTTCTGGTACCCCTATAATTTGGATGTTGGAACGTTTAAAGATGTTCTGGAGGTTCCTAAGCCTCTCCTCATTATTTTGAATTCCTGCTGCTTCATTATTTTCTGTTTGGTTGTTTCTTTCTTCCTTCTTGTCCACTCCATTGATTTGAGTCCCAGTTTTCTTCCCATCACTATTGGTTCCCTGTGCATTTTCCTTTGTTTCACTTAGTGTAGCCTTCATTTTTTCATCTAATTTGTGACTAAAATCAACCAGTTCTGTAAGCATCCTGATCACCAGTGTTTTGAACTGTGCATTTGGTAGGTTGGCTATCTCTTGGTTGCTTAAAAGTATTGGCTCTGGGGCTTTGATTTGTTCTTTTGTTTGAGCCATAATTTTTTGGTCATGTCGCACCTGTTACGTATGAGTGGTAGAGCCTTAGTTGTTCACCACAGCGGGTCAACCCAGTAGCTGGGTTGTGACATTGTATGTGGGGGTGGGTTCCGAAAGGGAACAGTGGCACTTGCTCTGCTCTCACTCGGATTTCAGTCCCTTCTGCCACTTCCCACAAGCAAATTGGGTTCCTCTGATGCTGTTTCCTGGGTGGGTGGGCTTGT